CGGCTACCCTTCTGATACTTGAGATACAGATATGGATCATAAACATATTACCAAAAATTCCCACATTAATCACATTGGGTATTGGGCTCGCTGGTCTCATTCATGTAGTAGAGAAGAATTATTCCCTCCAGTGCAGGAATTCCTGAGTGAAGTTTTCTGGCCGGGGTCATGCAAGGGCCTCAGAGTAAATGACCAGAATGGTCCCTATCTATGACTGCATAAATTCCTGCATTGATCTCTTTGGTGCTATTTTCCCTCACTCAGATTGATGGGGTGACTCTGACTCTCCCGGTGCGTCTCCAGAGAAGAGGAATCGTCGTTTATCGGGATGGGTTTCATACCATTGTGCAAGCCGACTCTGGGCTGAGCGTGAGCTACGACCTGGCCCACAGCCTCTTTGTCAACCTCCCCCTTGAGTACCGAGGCCACACCTGTGGGCTGTGCGTGAACCTCAATGGAGCGGCTGAGGATGATTTTGTGATGCAGAATGTCTCCGAGGGGAAGGATGCCTTCCACTTGGCTTTGGCTGGGAAGTCGGAGGATGTCCCTGGCTGTGACGACGGCTGCCCTGATTCCTGCCCTTTGTGTGAAGAGGAGGAAAGTCTGGTGCAGTCCAAGTCCCGGTGCTGGGTGATCCAGGACCCTGATGGGCCGTTCTCCGCTTGCCACTCCCAGATTGACCCAGGCCACTATCTGTCTGATTGCATCTTTGACCTGTGTGTGTCAGGAGGGGAGAGCAGTGCCCTCTGCGAGTCCATTCAGACATATGCAGCCGCCTGCCAGCGAGCGAATGTCTCCATCTCACCTTGGAGGAATGAGTCTTTCTGTGGTAAGGCAGCACTGTGTAACTGTGCTATTGGACTGTGTGCACCGCGGTGCTGGTCTGGCTTTCCTTACGTGATACTCTGAGGTAAAATGATAGTCCACCAACACTGGCAAAAGCTGCTCATCTTTGGCTGAAACCTAGGCCCTCAAAATCATCTGCCAAAGGGATCCCAGACCCCTCGAGAAACCATCCTCTCTGTCTTCTGTGGTAGGTTTTCCAGATCTACCCAGCACAAGGACATCCTGAGCACTGTAGAAGGGCTGCAGACCCATCAGTGCCCAGTTCTCCTCATTATTCACAGTGGGCGTGCTGATCCTCTGGCATCAGGTCAGGAGAACCGGAATCTTAATTTAGAAACCAATTGTTCACATAAGCTAAGAATCGGGGCTGATGGAAAATGTTCCATCAAAACTGGTTAGAGATGGAAAATGGGGTTGTCACCAAAATGAAATTTTTCATGAAAAGTGTTTGGTTTGCACAGAAGAATTTTTCATTTTAATTAAACAGAATATGTCCATTTAGAAACGCTGCTGGACCCCCTCTCTCCTGGGCCCCCTCTCTCCTCATGTACCATTTCCAGGCAATCCATAATGCACTATTCCTCCCCTGCCCCCAGAAAGGGAAGAGATTGCATCATGGGTGATGTAGTCTGACCAGTGAGCCCGACCAATAGAGGAGAATGGGAGCAGGAGGTACCCGAAGTACAATTCCCATGAGGCACTGAAATATTTTTGAATTCCTGCCAAAAAGAATTGGATTTTTCCACAGAATGAAACCCCATTTTTCTTCCAGTTCTCTGGATAAGTAACGCTCCTCAGAGAGACAGCCTGAAAAGCCCAGTCTGTGGAACAAATGGAGACAGACGGAGCTCAGACTTCCATCGTGTTGTTGGGGCTAGTGACCCTCCTGTCGCTCACTGCTTTAAAAGCTTGTTTGTCAACTTGATCGCCATAGTTGGGATCTTTCCCAGTGCTTCAATTGGCAAGAGATTGGGTGTTTGTTATGCTTCCTCTAGTACAGGAGTAGGCAACCTATGGCATACGTGCCGAAGGCGGCACGCGCACTGATTTTCAGTGGCACTCACACTGCCCGGGTCCTGGCCATCGGTCCGGGGGGCTCTGCATTTTAATTTAATTTTAAAGGAAGCTTCTTAAACATTTAAAAAACCTTGATTTACTTTACATACAACAATAGTTTAGTTATATATTATAGACTTATAGAAAGAGACCTTCCAAAAACGTTAAAATGTACGACTGGCACACGAAACCTCAAATCAGAGTGACTAAATAAGACTCGGCACACCACTTCTGAAAGTGCCGACCCCTGCTCTAGTGGATAGAGTAGGGATCTGCCGCCTGCTGTTGGTGCAGTCTCTCTAGGGGTCCCAGCTTTCTCCTAAGTGGTCCGCTTCAATTCATCTGCAATTAGACCACTGTAGGTGGTTTCTGTGGTATAGTGTTGTTATGTTTATCTAACATGCGGAAGGTATTTGGTTCAAAGCCAGCCAGGTGCATTGGTGCTTCTTGACACTAAACTGGGAGGAGTGGTAGATACGCTGGAGGGTAGGGATAGGATACAGAGGGGCCTAGACAAATTAGAGGATTGGGCTAAAAGAAACCTGATGAGGTTCAACAAGGACAAGTGCAGAGTCCTGCACTTAGGAAGGAAGAATCCCATGCACTGTTACAGACTAGGGACCGAATGGCTAGGAAGCAGTTCTGCAGAAAAGGACCTAGAGGTTACAGTGGACGAGAAGCTGGATATGAGTCAACAGTGTGCCCTTGTTGCCAAGAAGGCTAACGGCATTTTGGGCTATATAAGTAGGGGCATTGCCAGCAGATCGAGGGACGTGATCATTCCCCTCTATTCGACATTGGTGAGGCCTCATCTGGAGTACTGTGTCCAGTTTGGGGCCCCACACTACAAGAAGGATGTGGAAAAATTGGAAAGAGTCCAGCGGAGGGCAAGAAAAATGATTAGGGGGCTGGAGCACATGACTTATGAGGAGAGGCTGAGGGAACTGGGATTGTTTAGTCTGCAGAAGAGAAGAATGAGGGGGGATTTGATAGCTGCTTTTAACTACCTGAAAGGGGGTTCCAAAGAGGATGGATCTAGACTGTTCTCAGTGGTACCAGATGACAGAATAAGGAGTAATGGTCTCAAGTTGCAGTGGGGGAGGTTTAGGTTGGATATTAGGAAAAACTTTTTCACTAGGAGGGTGGTGAAGCACTGGAATGGGTTCCCTAGGGAGGTGGTGGAATCTCCTTCCTTAGAGGTTTTTAAGGCCCGGCTTGACAAAGCCCTGGCTGGGATGATTTAGTTGGGGATTGGTCCTGCTTTGAGCAGGGAGTTGGACTAGATGACCTCCTGAGGTCCCTTCCAACCCTGAGATTCTATGATAAACCCTCACACTCAATGTAACTTATCAGCCCAGGGCTTGGAGTCTCCTTTTGTCTCCCTGCTGGTTTCTCAGAGGCAGCCTGGCTTGGGGCCATTGCCCTCTGCTATCCCAGGCCGTTCTGCCTCCTCTTCTCTCTCTGTTCCCCTGCTTTAGAGCTGGGCTTGTTTTCTCGCTTGGTCCCAGCTCTGGGTGCCCGTGTCCATGACTGGCAGTACTGGCAGCTGCAGAGGGTGTGATCAGCCTGCTTCCCTGTAAGCAGGGAAGATTCTCCTCTCCGTTGTGCCCATGCTCTATAGGGGGTTTGTCAACCCCGTTACCGGATCATGCAAGTGTATCTAATGTGGCCGATTAACTGGGCCTGTAGGACACGGGTACGAGAGGGTCTCAGTCTTTTCCCTCTGGTGTCTCGGGCCTGCTGATCTCTGCAGAATGCCCTGTCCAATCCTCCAACCTTCTAACTAAGAGCTAAGCATTTTAAACCGAGGCTGAGTTAAACATCCAAGACGGGTTTCAGAGTAGCAGCCGTGTCAGTCTGTATCCGCAAAAAGAACAGGAGTCCTTGTGGCACCTTAGAGACTAACACATTTATTTGAGCATAAGCTTTCAAGATGGGTGCCATGGGCCTGCTGCTCAGGGGGTCAAGGGCAATTTCAATCCCCATGTGTGTTTCCATTTTATTGATACTAGAACTCCCTCCTCTTTCACAGACCCTGGGTGCCCAGTGAATAGCCACTACAAGCGGTGTGAGCGTCCCTGCCAGGACCTGTGTGCCAGCTCCTGGCCTCCGCATCTGTGCAGCTCCCTGGGCTCTGAAGGGTGTTTCTGTAATGACGGGTACCTGTGGAGCGGGGATCAGTGCGTCCTGCCAGAGCACTGCGGTTGTGAGCACGACGGACGCTACCACGGGGTGAGTTGCAACTTCACTCTCTGGACAATGCTGAGGAAACATGGCTGGATGGGCAAGTATAGACTCATTTTTCCCACTCAAGAAGCAAAGAGTCTCCTTCGTATCTAACTCTCGTGCCCTGCAGTGTGTGTTTCCACCTGAGGAGTCAAGCTTCTGCTTTCTTTCCCTCCCTCTCGCTTTCTTTTTATTATTGTTGTTATTCTTTGTATTCTGATAGCACCCGGAGCCTAGTCACACAATAGGGCACCTTTAAAATAGGCACAGAACAAAGAGATGGTCCCTGGCCAAAACAGCTTACACCTTATCTATAAGGCAAGAGTCAACAAGTAGTGACAGACCAGGGAACACAAAGAAATAAGCAGACAATTCCGTTTGCATAAGTGCTCTCCTGCCTAATCATGTTTTCTGGACTCAGGGCATGTCCCAGAGCTAATGAGCCCTGATAAATCTCGCATTTCCTTCTGTGTGTCTCTATCCCATTTGCTCGAGTGGTTTGTTTTTGTGACATTTTGCTGATGATGACCATTCCCCCTCTCTCTCTCTCTCTCTCTCTCT